TTTGCTGTGTGATTCCATGGTCAGATTAAAGTCTAGGACTACTGGCTAAGAGGTCATTTTCTCTTTCAGCCAATCATTATGCACATCGCTCAGGATTTAATGCGGAGGGCACTCTTAATTCCCCCATTTTTCTGTTCAGCTTCCCTGGGCTGACAAAATCAATACCATCATTCATAATAATAACAATAATAATTGTGACAGTCGAATAAATCACCCTTCAACTAATACTCCGAGTTCTAGAGATAGACATCTTAAAATCCTTTCTCATAATCACATCACAATGGTGAGCACGTTTTGTAGGGAACTTCACTGTGTCTAGAATAAGAATTTATTCGTCCACGAAAACTCAGCAGACCCTCCTCAGTCCTGCTATGTGCAAGCTGCTCTTCCAGGGCTGAGGTGGATCGAGAGATGAGTCCGACCTGGATCCCCTGGGCCCTTGGTTTGAAAGGACAGATGAAACAGGTGACTGCATAGGTACCTTTGAAAGGGTTACTGACACAACGTGGGCTCGGGGAGTTCACAGGATCAAGGACATGGATTGTCTTGTGTTTGTTTGTTTGTTTGTTTGTTTGTTTCTTAGTGAGACTGTCTTTATCAGGCATCGTCTCAGGGCCCTTTAACTTGCTCCCATGTCCGGCTTTCACAGAGCATCAGATCTTTAAAGACCCTGGGTATCCTCTCTCCTCTCCTGCCAGCAGCTAGTTTACTCCTCTGTCTTTCCCAGTTTCCTTTCCATCTCAGATGGCGGTGATATTGAGGTTCTCCTCTCTCCTTATCCCACACCTTGTTCTACCCCCGATTCTCCAAATAGCCCCACCCATCGGGAGCATTTTACCCCTGCCCTTTACCCCCAAAGTCTTCCCTGGCCTCTATACCCCTACCCACATCCCCCACCACCACCATTCCATTGGTGGAGGCGAAGGGGCTGACTCTCCCGTTTGGAGGAAGGTGAGGGTGGATGTCTTAGAGGAAAAGGTGCTGGTCTGGCTTTGGGTGGTCAATCCTACTTCCCTCAGCCATTCCCAGTAACGTGGATCAGTCACTCGGCACTTGTCCCAGCCCCTGGCCAGTTGTCCTCTCCTTTTTCATGTGGATGAGCTGGTTTTTTTATGGATCTGTTCATGCAGCCTGTGCACCTGCCCCCTGGTTGGCTTCTGTCGATGGAACCCCACTTCACTGGACACACTAGCGATTCTGTGAAAGGGCCTTCAGCGTCCCTGGTGGGGAAGAGATGGCAGGCCCCGTCAGGAGGAGTGGGCAGAAGGCACTGCTGAGGCCCGGCCCAGGCTTTCCAATTCTGGAGCTGAGAACAGACTGGTTTCCTTGACAACAGAGACAGAGTCTGCTCATCTGCTCCCGGGGAGGGAGCTGTGTGTGCCTGCGGAAAGCACAGGGACTTGGGGGCGAGAAACACGATCCTTTCTTTATCAGAGCAGCAACCCATTTCTGAAAACTCGCCAGCCTTTCTGTGTTATTAGCAACATTGAAAGCTTCCCAGGTGGCACAGGGGCATCGGTTATGTAACCTGCATGCTGGGAACCCAGGGGCAGCGTCTGCCTTCCCTTTCCACCTCATTGCCTCTGACCCTGGATGTTTCTGACCAGACCTGCAACACCTCTTTGACAACATGTTGTAAGATGTCAGTCAGATGCATGCTCACCCCTAGCACTCCCGAAGGCTGAACGGAAGGCATCTCTTCGTCTGTCAGCGAGCAGTGGCTCGTGCGCCCAGGCTGCTGGAAGGAGATGAAAATCGGCACCTGACCCCCTGATGTTGTTGGCTCAGGCCTGCACTTGTCAGATGGCGTCTTCAGGAAAGGCTTTGGGATCCAAACCCTCCTCCTCGATGCAAATCAGTGGACTCCAGGCTGGAAGCCGGTCCATGTGCTTTGCCCACCAGCCCTGATTTCAAGGCAGCAGGTCTGAGCCGTGACTTGGTGTTTAATTCATGCGCTGTACAGCCCTTTCCTTCCCATGCATTATTAAAGCCTCCTTATAGAGCAGCCCACCGATCAGATGGGATCACCAGGGAGAAGACGTGCCAGGAGTGATTTCCCGTCTCCTGCAAGAAGCAACATCTGCTGCTGCAAATGCCCAGAAAAAAGATTCTGCAAAATTGCAGCCTATTGTATTACCTAATAAAGATGGCCCCTAGACCAGGAGCTTATAAAAGCAGCTAATTTGCATGTGTGTCTATGTCAGTGCATGGAATTCTTGCATGCTAGGTGAGAGATTGGAAATTGTCTGTGGGACTCATTGCCAAGAGTGACTGTGATGAGACGGGAATTAAGAAGCAGGCGAAGGCGCATTCAGACACGTATGAACAGACAAATGGAGGCCAGAACCCGCTACCTTCCAAGAGACGTTTCAGTGACTCTGTTGTCTTGTAAAGATCATGGCAGTGTGGCTCACATCGAGCTCCTGCATGCCCCTCCCCAGTCACCGGGGATAAAACCCTCATGAGTTCCTTTGTTTATCTCCCCAGAAGAAAGCTACTGACTCCCCCCAGGCAAACATTGGGCTCCTTTAGAGAGGCTTCTAGGCTGAGTTCTTTGTTCAGAGGCAACCTCCCTGCTCCCAGGACCTTGACTCTCTGACTCTGGCTGACAAAGGATCCTCCTCTCCATCCCCAACTCCCACAGCCCTGAGGACCATTTTTAAAATATCTATTTTTATTGATTTCAGAGGGGAAGGGAAAGGGAGAGGGAGAGACAGATAGAAATATCAATGATGAGAGAGAATCCCGGATGGACAGCCTCCTGCATGCCCCACACTGAGGATTGAGCCGGGAACCTGAGCATGTGCCCTTGACCGGAATTGAACCCGGGACCCTTCAGTCCACAGTCTGGTGCTGTATCCACTGAGCCAAACCAGCTAGAGCCCTGAGGGCCATTTGAGGACAGCTGTGGAGCAGGTGGGTCCAGGGGCTGAGTTTCCCACATGGACCTGTTCAAATCACAGACTCACTGTCAGTCAAAGGGCACCTCTGACTTGGAAGGAATTTCAGAGGCTGCCTGGTCCTATCCTGTGTTTCCCTTCTGGGAAATGGAAGCCCAGAGAGGGTCAGTGGCTTGCTGTCCGTCACACAGTGAGTTAGCTCAAGACTCAGCTAGCTGGCCTCTGGAGTCTGCCCAGCTCTTTCCCATGGATGCCCTCTGAGGGCCCTGATGTTTCAGTATGGTGTGTGGTTCAAGTATTTCTAGGGATCAGGAAAGCTTCCTGTCTCATACATATAGGATCTGGATTGGTCCAGATACACATGACATTCCAATGATTCTCAATTAGAAAGAAATTCCTTGAGGAATTAGCATTGTGTGAGGTGCTTCTGTGTGGAACTGGATTCTTGTAGACGGGCTTTAGGTAGGAGTGTCGCTGGCTACATCCAGGGCTGGTTTTGATTGGTTGACAGTATGGCTTTCCAAACTGTAAAGATCCATAGGATGCATACATATTTTTCTACTGCTTCTTGGTTTGGTTACAAAACACTAGTTTTGTTCTAGCGTCTACAGAGTCATGGCTAGGCTGTCACCTGCTGCCTGTGCCCTTTAATCCTCTGAACCCATTGAAAGGGGAGGGGAGGGTTGAAAATATGGCCACAAACATCAACTTGGGGCATTGGGTTCAACAGAAGACCAGCAGTTTTGTTTTGCCCGTGGTGCCTTAAAAACGAAGGGGGAAAATGCCCCAAAGAATCCCCCGTCAGTGTCTTCTGGCACAGAGCCTGTTGCCGGTTGAGCACCAGGTTTGGTTGAGGGAAACTTAAGGTTGGATGACATGACATCTACTTCTTATAATGGTAAGGTGACCAGATTTTAACATTGGTAAAAAGGGACACCATTGACTGGGGGGGTGGGGGAGGTTCTTGATTAAAAATTTGGTCTATATGGAGCAACAAAAAAATTCATGGAATGCAAAAACAGTATTGTAATATATATTCTAAAATTTTAACATAAGTACAATTTACAAATATAATAAATAAATAAAAATTATGTATAGTTGTAAGTGTAACTTTCAAGGTCAGCACTAGACTTTTTGCCGCCACTATAAAATATAAATAATATGAGTACTGTCTGCTAAATTCAAGAAAATTTATGTATTTATGAAATAAATAAGTAAATTACTTACCTAAATTATCTGAATAGCTGATTTGTAATGCCATCAGTTGTTTAACTAGCTTACTAGCATGCAGTACGATGTGTATCGTCTGAGAGACAGTTACAAAATGTTTTTGTTGTTGCAAATCCCCAAAAATGCCATTGTTCATTAAGTCCAAACAATGGTGGTCGAATTCTAACAACTGATCAACAATTCGAACTTTGATAAGCAGTTCTTGATAATCAGATCTCAACAATTATTTGTTATTATTAAAGTTTAACATTATAAAATTAACAAAAATAATATAAAACTCATATCCTGGCTAAATAGCCACATGGCCGCTGAAAACCGTATATTCCCTTCCCATTCTCCTGCCATTCCCTAGCTTGTCATGCATTCTTTCAAAAAATGGGACTTTTTTTAAACACCGAGGCACACGGGACAAATTGCTAAAAATCGGGACTGTCCCGCCAAAAGCGGGATGTCTGGTCACCTTATAATGGGCGTCACCAGGGAAGATGTCCGGGCTGCCTGATGTGACATGCGGGCTGGCCAAGGACCAGGTGCTGCCTGAGGAAGCAGTGACCCAGGGGAACAGCAGAAAGCCAGCAGAGCTCAAGGCACAGCTCCGTAAGGGTCTCGGGCTTTTCCTTTCCCTAGAGGCCCCTCCATAACTCCAGCAAGAGCTTGTGAAGCCACGCCTATCAAATGAGTCTGTTAGAAGGGCCTTGAGAAGTCATCTCATTGCACTTCGTCTCATTGTACTCAATTCTCACTGAGTGCTGCCTATTTTTCTAGAGGCCAGGGAGACAGTGATGAGCAAGGACAGACAGGACCTTTCTCTTTTAGAACTTCCAGTCTACTTCTTGTGGTTTTTTTGGCTTTTAAAGTAACATTTTTAAATAAAGTTAACATGTGCATATATAGGAAACTGAAAAACACAAGCAAAGAACAAAGCCGTCCATAATCATAAGCAGTTTACAGTCTGATGTGTTCTCCTAAGTCCTGTGTATCTACACAACTAAGCTTCCATTTTTATGTAATTAAGATGGTACACATCATGAATATTTACCATTTCAAAGTACCAAAGCTATGACTATTTCGATAACCAAGAATACCCTACATCAACTCAATCTGGAAGAAAATGTAATCCTGCCTTACCTGGTGACAAAAATTTCATAAAGGACAAAAATAGCAACAGACTTCAAGATAAAAGATATTTCACAAAGTTACAATTAAAATACTGCGTTCCCGCTGAAACCGGTTTGGCTTAGTGGTAGAGCATCGGTCTGCGGACTGAAAGGTTCCAGGTTCGATTCCGGTCAAGGCCATGTGTCTTGGTTGTGGGCACATCCCCGGTAGGGGGTGTGCAAGAGGCAACTGGTCGATGTTTTTCTCTCTCATCGACGTTTCTAGCTCTCTATCTCTCTCCCTTCCTCTCTGTAAAAAAATCAATAAAATATATTTAAAAATAAAATAAAATACAATACAATACTGTGTTCCCTTAATATTCCATTAAAAATAAGACCCAAAGCAAGAGTACACAAAGTATAATGCTTCATATTGTGGTGATAACCACTGATGTGCGAGCATCTCTTTAGACTGCTATAGGAATATGTTAAGTACTTCAGTCAAAACTTGCCACCTTGCTAATATTTTAAAGTATAAATCATAATTCTCCAGCCTACTTCTTGTGGTTTTTACCATTTTGAGGAAGAAGGTTCCACACAATGAGCTTTTCCCCACTCACTCTCAGTCCTTCCTGTCATTTTTTGTTCTTGGCTCCATGTCAACCTTTTGCTCAGTCTCCTCCTTTCCCCCCAGAGAAGCAGCCTGAGGCTGTAGTGGTGTGCACGGTGCGAGCCGGTCCCCCCGGGTTGTCCTAGGCAGAACTTTAGGTAAGCAGGTGTTCCCATCCCTTCCCACTCTGGTGCCCCATCAGCCTCTGAGTACCCCTTTCCCCCACTCCCAGGTGTCCAGGGCCCCCTGGACAATAAACTAAGGCAGCTGCATCCTCACAGTGCATCTCCCGAATTCTCCATGATCTCTTTGTCTCCCCAGCCCTTCAGCCCCTGTTGTCCGCAAAACTCCAGGAAAAAAGCTATGTCCTTAGGTCACGCTGAGGTAGGCAGGCTTAACACATATCTCATCAACTCTCCCAGGAGTGCTGGCCCTGAAACAGAAGACCTATTAGCCAAGGGAACCTCTCAATGGTCAAACTTCAGGCTCAGAGGAGTGGGGTGAGGGTGTGGAGGCAGCCTAGTGAGATGGCGGCAGAGCGGCCCCAGCCCCTACTCTGCACCTGTGGCTTGGTTGGCCTTGCTTTCCAGGCTCACACACACTCAGGCACTTTGCCCCACTGACCTGCTTTTTCTTACAAGTGCTGTGTGGGCATATATGTGTGCACATCTGTCCATGTCTTCTTGTTAGGTCACTGTTTCACTTATGTGCACCTGTGTAACTAATCTCGGCCCCTTGGCCCTGCTGGAGGGCCTGAGGTGGTGCTGTGCTACACATCCCCATCGTCCCAGGGGAGTCACCCCATGCTCCCACCACTCCGTTCACACAGGGTGGGAGAGACGAGGTGCTGCATATATGCTCTCCCAGGGCTGAAACTTGGGAAAGAAATAGGATTCATTTTCTTGACACCATCTTCCACCAGCTACAAATTGTTAACAATTGCCTGCGGGACTCTTGAGACATGATGAAGTGTTAATTAGCAGAAGCACTGTGTGTTTAAAATACACGGCGTGTTTAAATATGAAATGAAACCAACTTTGCAGAGTTGAGAAACCATCTGGCCCCAAAATCTGAGGAGTTGCATTTGTGGAGTATTTTAAGAGATGTTTAACTGCTTCTAGAAATGGCAATTCGGTGTCACTTTTATTTCCTTAGATGCAGAAACTGAGGCACCGAAGCAGGCAGTGACCTAGTTATGGTCACCGCCTGAGCTACTGTACGTGGTGTACCTCCACCTCCCAGAGAGAAGGTTTAAATAGCTCCCCACGCCCAGCGGGCATGCTTAGCCGATGAAAGGATTGTGTTTCTGTGACTGTGGTTGTTCTTTAGAAGTCATATATTTCAAACTTGTTGATCCCAATGACTTGCAACTCTTTTGGCTTAAAAGTGCAAGGCACTTTCTGTAGAGATGAGGAGGGCAGAGCCAGGAAACCCGGTCCAGTCACTGACAACCAGGTATCCGTGTGTCCTTCTTTGGACAAAACACATACCCCCTTGGTCTCAGAAAGAAGGCGTGGATATCATCCTAGCACAGGGGCCAGGGTCACTGTGGGAGCTGGAACCTGGGCCTCTCTGGCAGGAGCTGGGGCAATGGAGGAGATGCCCAGTGTCTCCCTACATCTTGGGCCAGTGCCTCCTGTTGCCCCCAATGCAGCAGGAAACCAGCGCGATGAGTCCTGCAGGGGGCGGCAGGGAAGACTGAGGAATGGGTAGGCTGAGAGCAGCTCAGGCCAGGCTGTCTTTCAAGGACCTTGTGACCCTGACAGTGGAAGAAAGCGAGATGCTGCATGTGTCCTTGCCAATGGGAAAATCAGGCCAACATGGCCAGAGTGGTCTTTAATGAGGCTCTGCTGCTCCCACCATGAGAAACAAACATTCCCAAGGTGCACCTGCCCTTTTCTGCACCGGGCTGGCCTCTGTGCAGGGAAGACAGGCAAGCCTGCGGGATGGTGTTTGTGGGTGAGGAGATGGTACAAGAAGGGGGAGGATGAGAAAGAGGAGACAGGACAGAGGGCTTCACCCGTGACCAGAGGAGGTTAATGTCTGTGTAAGGATGCTTTTCATCATATAGGAATTCACAACAGGGCAGTGTCCCTCGCAGGCTTCCCTAGAATGTTTAATGTGTTTTTACATAAAGTGTCTTCAATCAACACCTGTTCAACTGGGTGGGTTCGAGATCCCCCCACCTCAGGTGCCAACTCCTGAAGGAGGGGAAGTGGTGTTAGTAGTCACACTCTGTCCTCAGCTCAAAACAGCTCTTCTCACACAGGCAGGCTTTTATCAGCCACAGAATTGGAGGTGCTAATGGACCCTCCTTCCCTGAGCTTCAGGCTCTTTATCTGTAAAGTGAGGGGCTTGGGTGTGCTTCCAAGGGCCTTTCCAGCTCTGCCACACGGGGATCCTCCCCAGACCCTGGCAGCCAGGTGCAGGAAATGGCCCTTCAAGCCATGCCAGGAGACAGCATGCAAGGCATAGAAGAGACAGTTACTGGGCCATGTACTAAGTCAGTGGTCGGCAAAGTCATTACTCAACAGAGCCAAATATCAACAGCACAATGATTGAAATTTATTTTGAGAGCCAAAAATACATATATATTTTTTATTTCGCAGCTGTTCTCTCTCTCTCTCTCTCTCTCTCTCTCTCTCTCTCTCTCTCTCTCTCTCTCTTTCTTTTAACTTTTTCCCCCTTATTTTTTTTTATTAAATTATTATCTGTGTACATATCTTACCATCACCCCCCCCCCCCAATACATACCCTCCCTCCCCAGAGTTTTGTGTCCATTGGTTGTACTTATATGCATGTATACAAGTCCTTCGGTTGATCTCTTATCTCCCCCAGAGAGCCAAATTTTTTAAACTTAAACTTCTTCTAATGCCACTTGTTCAAAATAGACTCACCCAGGCTGTGGTATTTTGTGGAAGAGCCACACTCAAGGGGCCAAAGAGCCGCATGTGGCTCACGAGCCACAGTTTGCCAACCACGGTACTAGGAGGTCCCTTCTGAGCAAGATACGTTGGCATCAAGGATGGACTTAAGTAACCAGAAGCTCTTTGTAATAACTCCATGCCTTGCATTCCTTGACTATGAATGGGGCCATGTATGTAAACCACAGCAACATCTTCTTTAAGCCCATTTTCTCTGCCACCCGCCGACCTCACACTTCATATCACTGCTCCTCTCTCAACACAAGGTTTTAAAAACCCACCACCGTTCTTGAAGGTCGCATCCTTTTTCCCTTTTCCCATCTCCCTTCCCTGTCAATTCTGCATTATGAAGCCACAAAAAACCAATGCGGCAGGTTCTTCTCGGAGTTCAGGTAGGGAGAGGCCTGTGGGGAGGGGAAGCTGGGGTCACTCATGCTTTTGGTTCTGACTCACATACAGAGATGAGTAATAGAAGAAGAAAAAAAAAAAGGGCCAGTTTGGTGACAAACAAGAGGTCCTGGAACTGAGAAGAGGGTGTGAGTTGGCCGCTGGAGAATGAAAAGACCTTGACCAGAGGACAAGAAGTCTGGCCTGAGGCAGGTCACGTGTGGAATTGGGGGCTGGTGTGGGGGTGGGAAGGGCGGTCCTGTCTGTCTGGGGTGGGCATTTCAGTGCCAGTTTGAGAGCTTCACAGCCAAGGTGACTTTATCCTGTTGTCTGGAAAGAAATGGCATGGTGCCACAGCCCCTCCCCAAGCCCATGGCTCTCACTGGAAATCCATCCCCATGTTCTTTCCGACTGAGTGCAGAGAGGACTCAGGCTCTCAGCAGGCAGCGCCACCCGTGCATTGGAGTGGGTACAAATACAAAGCCCGGTGACCTTGGCTGCAGACAAGAAGTCGTGGGTGCTCTTGTGAAGCGTTTTAGAAATTAACCATGTGTGCGGACTGGATTGGAGGAGGGGCGCTGAGGAAAGAAATCAGTGGGAAAACGAATGCAGTGAGGACTCAGGCCAAGGAACATCAGTGCCTTCTTCTGCTCATTCCTACATTGGCTTTAGTGGATCAGCGTTAAAAGCTTTAAAAAAAACAAAAAAAAAAAACAACACCAGACTCTCCCACCCTCATTCTGGGGCACTTATGCCAGCGGCCTCTCCCGTCTTGTCTACCAAACCGAGCTTCTCAGACCCCAGGCACGTAAGAGCCCAGGCTACATGAGAGGCGCATCTTGTCTTCTCTCTGGAACAAGTGTCTTTCATCCCAATAAAACACTGGAGCAAAAAATACTGTTTTATACGCCTCTATCCAATTCATTTAACTCAGGAAACTGGGATTCCGACACCAACATTTTTATTAGTTCTGGGCCAGGGATGAAGGAGTCTGTGTTTCGGTGCGTTTTCCCTCCATTTCTTCGTTGACCCTGTTACAGGGAGGTGAGCAGGAGCAGTCAGAGGCCATTAGCAGTGCCCCAGCGAGTGGCTGCTCAGTTCAGCAGCATCGACTGAGTCCAGGGACACCCGCCACCGGAGGCCAGTGATTGGCATTCACTCTTCATCCCGCAGCGGAGAGCTGGGCTCCTCCCTGTCACAGTGGCCCAGCCGGGTGGCTGATTAGATCTGCAACGTTCGAACCTTTGTTCCAGGGTCTCCTTTCTCATCATGGAGCTGCTGCTGCTGACAATATGCTCTAAAACTCTTGCTACCAGCAGCAGCAGCAGCAGCCAGGAGTTTTTGAGAAATGCAGACCCTCAGGCCTCACCACAAACCTGCTGAGCCAGAACCTGCAGGTTAGTGCAGTCCTCAGGTGATTTGTATGCACATTAAGGTTAACCTGAGAGGATTCTGGGGGCCAGATTATATTCCCTCAGAATCCTCAGAG